TTGGGTTTTTTTGTTAATGCGAAGTCAATATTCCTACATTTCATGATGTGCTCCATTGAATGACTGGTTATCATATTGTTCCCACAAACCAAAGACAAAAACGTCAGCAACCATGTAATTTAACCATAAACCAAATTTATGAAATTTAAAATAATGATTTCCATGCCTGTGCATTTGGTGTGTCCTACACAGGTAGGAAAAAATATGTATTTTATTAAAAGATTATTGTTAAGTATGATTGATAATCGTACATGTAATTTATCATATTGATGATGCCTGTAAACTGGCGTCCCTCATGTACAAAACGGGAATATATTATTATTATGTGTGTGATGCATATAGCTCCCGGTTAGCTCCATACTCGCTGTAGCTTGATCCACTTCTATTCCGTTGGTGATCACCTGTATTACTGTATTCAGCGTATCGCCCAACCTTTGCCTGCGTGCAAGTCTTATTGGGTCTTGTTCTACTGCATGCACTCCGTAAGCGACCTCAGGCAACTCAGACTCGTCTTCTCGTCTCGATTACAAATCAGACAAGACATTTTGTCTTCCAGGTACGTTTGAGATCGTAAAATCGTACTGCTGAAGACTAAACATCCACCGTGACAATTTTCCCTTGGGCCTCTCGCTGTCTTCAAATGCTGTAGTGGCTTATTATCAGTTTCGATGTGGAACCGCCAGCCGAGTAAATAAGGTCTCCATTTGTCGACTGCCCATACCATTGATAAACATTCTTTCTTTATCGCTGAATACTTTTGCTCTGTGTGTGTCAACACCCGACTGGCATACACAGCGATTCCCTCAACCTGTCTTAGGACCGCACCTGTGGCGTAGTCACTGGAATCTGTGCACACTGTGACCTGTCTTCCAGACACAGGTAGTTTTAGTGTCGTTTGTTGGTGGTCAAGCAGCTGTTTAATTCTATCGAATGTCCTCTGCGTTTCCTCCGAACAAACAAACTTCGACTCCCGCAGTAGCCTGTTCAGAAGGGCTGTTATCTGATTGATGTTCTTCACGAAGTGACTATAAAACGCTGCTCTACCCAAGAATTGTCTCAGTTTTCTCTTTGAATTCGGGGCTGGAATCGTTTTAATCGTCAAAATTTTCTCCGGTAGTGGTTTAATCTCACCATTTCCCACTTTATGTCCCAACAGAGTAACATTCTTTTGGCTAACTGAGACTTGGTTTTGTTGATGCGCAGTCCAAACTCTTCGATGCGTCGCAGCACGGCTTCTACATGGTTCACATGACCGTTTTAGTTTTGACTGTGTATGACGAGATCATCACCATACACCTCCACGTTATTCAAGTTCTACAGTAATAGCGTCATCAGTCGTCTGAACGTAAACGGTGCACCTGCTAGTCCAAACGGCATGCGTTTAAATCGATATTGTGTCTGACCCACGATGAATTCCATCTTATTTCTATCACTTGGTTTTATCGGTATCTACCAGTATCCTGAGTGAAGATCGACAACCGAAAGCACATTCGCGCCTTGTAGGCAATCTACAGTTTCTACTACTGTTGTCATAGGACACGGTCTTAACTCTTCCATACTGTTCAACTGACGAAAATCAACACAGAATCTGTACTTCCCATTCGCTTTTCTTTAACAACAGCACTGGAGAGTTGTACGGGCTATCAGCTTCTTCAATAATATCATCTTTTAACACCTCCCACACTTGTCGCTCAACTTCGCCTTTCAAATGACATGGAAGTCTTCGCATTGCAAATGACCTTGCTTTCGGACCGCTTAACGGAATTTCATGATCCACCTTATCGCAATAACCGTATGGGTCCCCATCTCCAATGAGCTGATGATCGTATTTATTAATTAACTAACTCTGTCCTATTGTATACCGTCGATAGCTTCACCGCTTCCATCTCGCTGGTCTCATACATGTTGATATGCCCGTATTTCGTGATCACCACGTTCGCTTGCGTGTCGATTATTGCACCAATCTCACGCAGAAAATCCGCTCCTAATATCGTTCGCTGTAGTTCGGGTACAACAATGAACGGAAACGTCACCTCGCAGCCGCCAACAACGACCGTACAGTTCGATCTACCCGTGATACGCAATACATGCCCGCCTACTGTTTGTACTTTCAATCAACACGGACTAACACTCTTACATGAATTCTTATCTATTAACGACACGGCCACCCCTGTATCTATTAAACACACTACTTCTCGACCATTCACTCGCAACTTCGAATACATAGCCCGTTTCTCAATAGCCCCCACTAGATCTAGTTTCATACGAGAGAAAGAACAAGTATTACACCGTCTGAAACTTTTTCTTTTTCGCCTTTCTGGGCAGTATCTCCTCCAGTGTCCCGGCTTACCGCATTCAAAACATCGGTCTTTTCTATCAGCCAACTTTAACGCCGCCACTTCCCACTGCAATGCTTCAATTTTCTGCTCATATTCGTTTGGTTTTGGTCGCTTTATAGCGGCTACCGTTGTGCTCAGCAGCTGTCTGGTCACCTTCGCCAGCTCACTAATATCCATCGTCTGCGTTGCGCCAACCCGTTGTAATCGCTGAGAAATGTGGTCTGGGACACTCTTATTTACTTTATTTTTTATTCTTTTATTTTTGATTAAGGCTCGATTCCACACTGTATTTTTGGTACAAGTAATGAATTTTCAGCATGGATATCGGTAGCCCAAATTTTGCAGGCCGACCATAGATATCAGGTGTGCTTCTACAGGGGATCGAACCTCAGACCATGTGCATGGTAGGCAGGAGTCCTAACCATTGTGCCACCGACTCCCGATGAACTGGAAAGACAGTAACTGCGCTTCTGATTCCTCATCCAAAGTGGGAGGCGCACGTCGAAGTAGATTTGCCAAATTTACAACCAACACTAACGGGTTGCCATCATGTCCCAGCTTTGTTGAACGGAACTGCTGCATTGCTAGCTGCCTGTCTGTTGCGCTGCCAAACTCCGACAACAATCGTTCAACCAATGTCTTCCAAGACGCTGCGCCATCTTACTTGTCAACACTGTCATATGCCGCCTTCTCCCAGCCTCTCAATGGCGTCTCCACGACAACCTCCTTCGCCGCCTGCTCCTTGACACCTACCAGCTCAGCGACAGCCTCGAAGTCACGTAAGAAGCTCCGTATGTCTCCTTCTTCAAATGCAGTTGGCCATGGGATCTTCATTTTTCGGAGGCAGAGACACAAAAAGTAACGACAAAAGACAAGAGTCAGGCAAATGATCGTTTATTAAGGAAATCAACACCTATTTATATATATTTCATGCACATTATAGCTTATTCAAGCTGGTAAATACAGTGTTCTGATTGGTTGTTTCTTACAGAAAGTTGACCTTATATGCTTATATGAAAATATAAATTATTATTATCTCTTTGTGACTGTTTCTTGAATGTCAGACCATTTATATGTTAACTGTATCTGCCTACGCCAAGTCTGCTGTGATTGGTTGTTGAATCAGTCTTGTTCATATTTTCTCACGACCAATATTTACGACATACCCATTGACGTAAAATGCTGTCTACCGATTTGGCTAGCAGCTTGCTCTCAGCACAAATCTAATTGGCTAGTAATGAACAATCTCCTACTTAGGAAACTGTACTGCATTGGCGACAATGTTTACTTGTTAGCGTATTGCGAGAAATCTGCTTCAGAATATTTGATTATCATCACTCATAGTATTTGATGACATCCTCTGGCGCACTTTTCCCAAGGAGCGCATTGGTATCTGTTTGGTTCGTCAGCATCAACGAATTGCAGTTACACAGAATACGAGGCAGCATCCCATAGCTTAGGTGACATATTATGATGCAGTGGTATATAATTCCTTATAAGCAAAGTTTGTGATTCACAACCCACAGTGGTACAGTGCTAACAGACGGTTATTAACACCATATTACTGTGTAACAACAACTAAACCTGTCCTATATGGAGCCAGTGAAATGGTTAGTGGAATTTAGCTTTCAGTAAACGTAGATTGGTCAATTTTTGAGCTGGTCGCTTGATTCCTTTCTAACTCGTTTCCCCCAGATACGCATACTACGGGATTATCAAACACTACCGTACTTGGTTGTTGATTTTTAAAGCTGGCGAAATATTCTCTGAGAATGGTGATTAACTTTAAAATGATTTGGCGGAAGACAGCTAATGAATTGAAACTTTCCATATGGTAGAAGTGACCACCCTAAGGTTATTCATGTCACTTATATTGAAGTGGATAATTGATGAATGAATGTTTTGTTGTGCCAATGGTTGGGCGGTATGAAGACTCAGAAATGGTTCTTAGACATGATCTGAATACCACATAAGATACAGAGCAACAGCTGTATACATAGTGCCATCTCCATCACACAACAGACCTTATTTGGAATACGGTGTTCAGCAAGCAGCCCATGTCATGAGTAAAAGGCAGACTCATTGGAAAAATTCCAAACTTTTGGTCTAAACTGATCAAGAGGATTTGAAACTTGTTGTTTTAGAAAGGGTTAAATCAGTTAAAAACGATTGCAGATTTCCCATCACTGGATTAAAGGTGACTTCATACTGCCATTCCCTACCTTTATCAGTGATCCGGGAGCCAAAGTTTTACCGGATGTTTTCCACTAGAGGGCAGATGACATTACCTTCATGTTCAAAACACACTACCAAAGCGTCAATATTTGGGAGTCATTTTCTTTCATCAAATAATAAACTACTGGGATTTTCTAACGGAGAAGTACGTTTTAGTGCCTTTCATCGGTTAATTCGAAGCATCCACTTTGGGTATATGCTGAACGGGAAGAGCTAGTACAAGCTTAAATAAAACTGTTCTTGAGAATGTCCTGTAATTTTGCAGTCAGATAGTATCCAGTATAAAAGCTGCCCCTGCAAATGAGATCGTTAAGAATTTGGTCATGTTATCTGCCTACATATTAAATACTAGTTAAACTTATTATCTCGGTCGCCTTCATCAATTGAATCGGTAGTGCGGACTTTATAAACTTTACGGTGCAAACGTTAGTTGGTCATAATACTTGCAAGGTGGTGGTTTTTCACTTTTAATGACCCAGTATTTTCTCAGAGACGCTGCGCATTAGATTTCATTTAGTTTCGCTGATAATGGGCGTCGTATTTTCGTCCATTATTCCTCTACGTGCACTTTAAAAGTCTATATAGTATATTTCATAATAATGCAAATGTCGCTCATAGTAGCTGCCCTCTACCAGCTAGTTGTCATATCTGTTTTGTTTTGGACATTTATATTTACACTGAACATGCTGTGTCGTACGCATTCACCTTGAACTTATTCTTAGGTAAATTACCTAACAAATTTTATTCCTAGAGGAAGTTGTTCAATTGTAACTTATGAGTAGCTGATCTAAAGGCTTAATATTTGTATGTGTGACCAAATGACACGAATAGATTGTCGGAAAGAACACATGTATTTAAAAATCTACGGTTATATCATCATATGCTTTCCAAAATAAGTAAAATTAAGGTCGTTCGAAATGTCCCACTTGCTGAAAGTAACGAAGATCAGTTAAGTCAGTACTTCAATATGGACATTTTCAGTGCATTCCACTAGAAGATTCTGGTGACATTTAACTTTAGCAGCCACCACAATGCATAACCAACACTCCACTAGATTCACTCATCGTTTGATTAAACCATGTCTTGTGTTGTGGTTTACCCTAACGAGGGCAAAGTTCTAGAATAGCGTCCCAAGGGATGCGAACGCACGAGTGACCTTCAGCCAACCAATCACAAAAATGAGGAATTTAGCGCAAAAATGACGTATATTCACAAGAAAATGCTTGAAAACGTATTAAACATATTATCTTTCTCGGACATGACTTAAAAATACGTCTCAGTTATGATGAAGAGCATCACTTGCTAAGTTGGACTAGTTTTTATAGATTTATTCACTGAAGTGACTGAAGATGTGCTATTTTGTGAATCGTTCATCTGTCTTCTCTTGCTGTGCAGTCCTCTCCAAAGCCCTCGGTTAAATTGCTATGGTTTCAGTAAGAGGATCGACGACTACATACAAGGGAAATGAAGATAAAAGAAATTAAACGGCATTAACTACCAATCTATCGCTAATCGGAACCCTAACCTTAATCCTGACCCTAACGCTAAACTTAACACTAACCCCTTAATCCCAACCCTAATGACAATCCTTATCCTGCCATAAACCTAACCCTAATCCCAATTATGACTGCAACCTTAACCCTAACCCCAATACTCGCCTTAACCCTAATCCTAACCCTAACGAGATATTAACACATTGTCCAAACAGTAATTAAAAGCGTTATCTGGGTGAAAATTTCTCCTTATTTGATGAATGGCGTTGATACTTCAGCTATGATAATCATATATCACCTATAGGTGCCGTTAGCCAACGACTAGCATGCTTTCAAGGTCATGGAAGCGTTCGCACTCCTGGGACGCTATTGTTGAGCTTCGCCTTAACGAGTTCCAGGGAGTTGAAATGTTTGTTTATCATGTGAATGATGGATTCATTGGAGTGGGTAAACATGCTAATTCGGGGATTTAAGCTATTTAAGATATATCTGGTTTTGTGGGGGGTGGGGGATTAAGATTTTAGAGGAAATTAAACAACAGATTCAGAAATATAAATCAGTCCCAAAAACACTATGATCTCCAGTTACATTTTAGACAGCATGAAAACTTCTGTTGCTCCTTAATTCCCGGATAACTTGCTCGTGGTCTATGGGCGAGGCAGCCACACATTTGTAACTTCTCCAGATCTGTAGCATAAACCGATCCCTTGTAGTAGTATTCCTTCACCTCCGAGAAATGCACAATCGTAGTTTCAAACCCAATCGAAAATGTGCATGACTAGGGTTTGCAATCCAAAGACATAGTCGAGGGATTGAAATAAGCAGAAAATTTTAATCATTCTATTGCATGGAAATTCAGGTAGTCGAGTAATACAAACAGAACTTCTTTGGTTTATGTGCCTTGATTATTTAAAGCACTTCTATAGTTTACATCATATGCGGTGTGTGGTTGTGTCTCATTAAAAAGAAACTAGGGGATTTTCACTATGCCTTTTTTATTGATTTCATTTTAGGTATAATTTTCGTGGAATGTATTGTAGCGTATTACACTCATCGTTAAGGTAGAAAACGTAGATGATGCAGATTAAAAATGCTTACAGAGCTATTTTCTTGATTTATGAATTTCTTCGGTACCCTATTCATTCACTCTGATAAGACTTCCCATATCTGCTGCAAGGTCACCTCACTCTTTGTTCCTGAATCAAGAATTGGAACAGACTAATCCCTTAGTACCACCCTGTATAAAGCAAGCTCATAGCAATATTGGGAGCCACTAAATAATTATCAGTTCACGTGATAACTTTTCCTAATCTGTGTTCATGGCTGTGTGATCAGCATAGCATTCTCTCCCGACTCTGTCTTTTCACAGCTCAATAGTTCCACAAAAAAATACTATAATAGACTAATTCGTCTTATCTAACAGTAATAGGACATTGTTTATTATGGTGATTACGTTTGCAGCATAACGTGGAATTATTGTGATAAATAACTGACTATATTCAGGTACTAGACAGTATATTGGGATCTTCAGTAGTTCCGACAGAAGTTTAGATCCTTGGTCATTTCATTTTGTTTGAAAGTAAGTACATTTTCTGTAAAATAGCCACAGGTAGACCAATCTCTGTAAAGTGGTAAACAGCAATTGTGAATGTCACTACTACTACGGAGGTATCCTTGAAAATAATTCTGCTTTCAAATTAAAAGAAAATTTTTTTAACTATCACAATTTCAGATCTAAAAAATGGTGTTAGCAGAATTAGGAAGGAAAATAACCTCTGCGCTTCGATCTTTGGGCAATGCAACAATAATTAATGAAGATGTTTTAAACAGTCTACTCAAAGAAATATGTACTGCTCTAATCGAAGCTGATGTAAATATACGCCTGGTTAAACAATTACGCGAAAATGTTCGTGCAGTAATCGATTTTGATGAAATGGCAGCTGGATTAAATAAACGTAAAATAATCCAATCGGCTGTATTCAAAGAATTAGTTCATTTAGTCGATCCACAAGTTAAAGCTTGGCAACCGTCAAGAGGTGCTTCAAATGTGATTATGCTGGTCGGTTTACAGGGTAGTGGTAAAACAACTACCGCCACAAAATTAGCTTATTTTTATCAAAGAAAAGGCTGGAAAACATGTATGATTTGTGCGGATACATTTCGTGCTGGTGCTTTTGATCAACTGAAGCAAAATGCCACAAAGGCTAGAATCCCTTTCTATGGTTCTTATACTGAAACTGATCCAGTTGTTATTGCACGAGATGGTGTACAGAAATTTTCAGATGAAAAATTTGAAATCATTATCGTAGATACTAGTGGTCGACATAGACAAGAAGATTCATTGTTTGAGGAAATGCTTCAAGTGAGTGCTTTAGTTTTCTATTGTCATTGTCATTTGAATCACTGTGTGTGTGTTTTAGACTTTGTCTGATGACTTGCATTTAATCTTCGTAATTATTATTTTGAGCACTAAGAAATATAAGGATACAAAGTAACATTACATTCGTAGGCATTAAGAATTATTATTATTATTATTATTGTATCCTTTAGTTCCTAGAGGAACATAGGGCTTCAGCTGCGCACCTCCATTGACTTCGGTTTTCTGACAACTTTTTCACCCTGCTCCAGGTCTGCCCACATGCTTTCATCTCCTCTTCACATGACCTCCTCCAAGTCACCCTTGGACGACCAACTCGCCGCCTCCCTTTCGGGTTCCACTCGAGGGCTTGTCTAGTGATGTCACTTGATGGTTTCCTCAGCGTATGGCCAATCCATCTCCATTTCTTTCTGCCTATTTGTTTCACAATCGGTTCCTGATTGGTTCGCTCCCAGAGATCCCTGTTGCTGATCTTTTCTGGCCATCTGATCTTGAGTATTGAGCGGAGACAGTTGTTAATGAAGGTTTGAAGTTTGTTTGAGATGCTCTTTATGACTCGCCAAGTCTCTGATCCGTATAGTAGCACTGACTTCACATTGGAGTTGAAAATCCGGATCTTATTTTTGATGCTGATTGCTGTTGACCTCCACACAGATTTGAGAGTAATGAAAGCTTGTCTTGCTTTTCCGATTCTGGCTTTGATGTCTTCGTCAGTTCCGCCTGTAGTTGAGACGATGCTTCCCAGGTAGGTGAAGGAGGTTGTTTCTTTCAGGTTCTTCCCATTTATGCTTATTGTGGTCTGTTGTTGCTGTTGATGTTGGCAAGGAATCTTCATCATCTCTGTTTTATCTATGTTCACGTGAAGTCCTATCTTTGATGCTTCTTCTGCCAACTTGTTACTTTTCATTTGCATATCTTCCAGTTTATGGGAAATCAGACATATATCATCGGCGAAATCCAGATCCTCCAAGTCTTTTGTGTCAGTCCATTTTATGCCTGTTCCCTCGTTGGTTGCCGTTGTCTGTCGCATTATCCAATCAATTGCAATCAGGAAGATCATTGGTGATAGTAGACAGCCTTGCCTCACTCCCGTCCTCACTTCGAAGGCTTCCGTAAGTTTCCCGTTGTGGATTACTTGGCATGCAGCATTGTCGTATAACTGTTGGATGAGGTGTATAATTGTCGATGGGACCCCGTAGTAGCGAAGTAGTTTCCAAATGACCTCTCGATCGACGCTGTCGAAGGCCTTTTCAAAGTCGATGAAGTTGAGATAGAGAGGTGACTGCCATTCCAAGCTTTGTTCAATGATGATCCGTAGAGTGGCGATTTGATCAATACATGATTTGTTTCTCCTGAATCCAGCCTGTTCCGGACGAAGTTTTTCATCTAGGGCTTGTTTGATTCTCTCCAGGATGATGCGACTTAGTATCTTGCTTGGAATGGACAGAAGCATAATTCCACGCCAGTTTTTACATTGACTTAAGTCTCCTTTCTTTGGAAGTTTGAATAAGTAACTGTTCTTCCAATCCTCGGGTACTTTGCCCTCTTTCCACACCTTCTCCAGTAGTGGTGTCATCAAGTCCGCTGTTGTCTCTGGGTCTATTTTCAAAGCCTCTGCTGGGATTCCATCTGGTCCCGGTGTTTTCCCAGTTTTAAGCATCTTGATTGCATTCAGGACTTCTGATTTCGTCGGGGGGTCAGTGTTCACTGGTAGTTCTGCTTCCGTTGTTGGTATTGCTGGACGTGTTGTAGGTGGCGGACGATTTAGAAGTCTTTTGAAGTGTTCAACCCAGTGCTTTCTCTGTTCCACCTCTTTGGTGATTGACTTTCCATTGTCGTCCTTTATTGGCTTAATCTGTGTCGAACGTTTGCCCGAAAGGTTCCTAGTTGTTTGGTAGAGTGTGGCGAGGTCTCCTTTGCCTGCAGCTTGTTCTGCTTCGTTTGCCATGGTTTCATAATATTTTCTTTTGTCTTCCCTGGCACTTTTCTTCACTCTTTTGTTCAGTGTATTGTAGCTTGCATTCAGCTCCTGTTTTTGTTGCTCGTCCGTGCACTGGATAATCTTTTGCTTCACTGTCCTTCTCTCTTCTATTAGTTTCCAAGTGTCCGTAGTGAGCCACTGTTTGTCCTGTCTCTTTTTTCTGCCTAGAATTTCTATGCAGGTTTGGCTCCACACCGTTTTCAAGTTGTTCCAGTGCTTTTCAACGCCGACCTCTTCGCTAGTGTTGATTTGTGTCTCGACTTTGTCCTTTATGCTTGCAATGAAGATGTCCTTTGTAGCCTGGTCCTTCAGCTTTTGAGTGTTGAACTTGGCTTGTGGTCTATCTGCAGCTCCTGATTCCCTGAAAGCTTTTAATTTGATTTGGATTGTCCCTTGTACGAGATAGTGGTCTGAGCCAACGTCTGCTCCTCTTCTTGCTTTTGTGTCCAGTAGGCTGCGCCTCCACTTCCTTGAGATTGAGATGAAGTCGATTTGGTTTTTGGTTTGCCCGTCTGGTGACACCCATGTAGCCTTGTGGATATCTTTGTGCTTGTATACACTGCCACCAATCACCAGTTCGTTGAAGGCGCAGAAGTCGGCGAAGAGTTCTCCGTTTTCATTCATTTCTCCTAGAGCTTCTCTACCCATGATGAGTTCCCTTCCCGTATTGTCTGGTCCCAGTTTGGCGTTCATGTCTCCCATTAGTATTTTTACTTAGTACTTTTACTTAATGTAATCATTCTTTTCTCAGGCGTGAGGCTAGCAACCCCACCCTGCAAACAAAAATTGCTACAGAATCTTCAGTATGCTGAACCTCCTAGGCATTAAGAATAACGGACATAAACTACACCTAATCATTATTACGTTTTTAAATCGTAATTCTGTCTGATTATATTGTGTATATTATATTATTTTTTAATCAAGCAGACTCCGTTTAGGAAGTCATTATTGTCTAGTAGAGGCCAGCTCATTCTGATCTTGCGGTACCGCTTTTGAAGGCGGTGACCTATGCAGTGTTTTTTAGTTTTAGTACCTACTGATACTGTTTATTATTCAGATGTGAACTTATTGATTGAGAATAGAAGGCTTGAAGCCTGTGTAAATACTTTTCTAACAAGTTTCTCTGCTTGCCTACACTCTTTTTCAATCGGTGAATTAAAGGAGCTGACACAAATTCTTCTGTAAGTCGGTCCCAAGAGTTAATGACTCGGTGTGCGCACTAGTACTCCACAACGATATAGTTCCTCCTTGGCTTTCGAACTCTTTTGGTATGTCCTCTGAGGTGTTCCGACCTGTTAGGGGAGGAAAAGAGAAAACAGATCAGGTCCGTAGTCACATTATTCAAAATTTTAAACATTGTAATCAGCTCTCTCTGCCTAAGATATGACACTGGAGGAGACATTCAAATTGTCTAATCTTTCCTCGTATGATAAATTCATCATGCCAAGAATCATACGTTTTACCTTTCTTTGAACCTTTCTGTAATGTGTAAGTCCGCCTTATGACAATGACTGGCTGGATTTATTTTTCCAGTTTTTATCTTACCAGAGGTGCTTACAAAGAATTGAATATATATTCGATGATTCCAGTAAACGCTCCGGGTATTGCTCTTAAAAATCTAAAACTTCCAAATGCTATACTTACTTACTTTACTTCGGCTATCTCCTACGGGAGGATGAGCCGGCTTCATGAACCATGAAGTTTCATGGGAATTGGGTACGAGCGATGTCCCCAGGATCGCTCGGCCTTTGTTTGAGAGTGCAGCTCTAGCCTTTACACAACCAAGTGTGATCTACAAGGCAGTAGGAGTGGAGTAGGGAGTCCACTATCCATTGGCAGCCGGTGACCGGAGTCCGGTTCATTCGCCTTTTTGAATGGGGCCAGTCATCCAGGGCATCCAATAAGCCCTTTGTCCATACGTCTGCCGGTGAGCTTCATACGCCAGTCGTTGGAGGTTTGGAATCAGGGTTTAGCCATCTCCCCTAGACTGTCATCCAATGAACAGTCAACCCGGTGAAGAGCGCCGGGCATCCGCTATAGCTCGACATTGTGTTCTGGTTCTTTAGTCGTGACTTACAATGACACATAAGCTCAAACAAATCTGAACTGACTCATGGGAGTGTTGTTCCCTTCAATTCATATGAGCTGACGCTTAGCGTATCCGATGCGCATGGTTATGCGCTTCGCTACGTGTTTATTCGCAGCATCCATTCTTCGAACCATTAGAATCTTTTAGCTCTCTCCAAATTTTAAAGTTTTCTGCATGGAGGAACATAGGGGATTCGATGAGCGAGTCTTTGATCATAGGTGCCTGCGTTGAGCGAGTACAGGTTATTCGTTGATATGCAAGATAAATATTATGTCAACCATCGAAATCACACATATTTAAACCATTACTAAACGACTGTGATGGAGGTTTTCAGATGAGTTATTTGATTAACTTTTTAAAGTTTAAAACAGTAACTTTTGTATTATACAAATGCTCAGTGCGTGTCTAGTTGCTTCTATTTAACTACAAATAGATACTTAGAAAAGCTTCGAGTACGTTTTGAAGTGTGTGGACGGTTGTTACTTCCCGACTGCTCACATCGTGGAAGTTAACTGATTCTTCGGGTACCTGAAACAGAAAGAGGGTTAGTGTTATGTGACCGCAGAGCCCAAAGGACAAATACTTGAGGTCGGTTACACACTGCCTGTATGAACTGGTTTCTTGGATTGGTTCTGTATTAGTAGACTTACCACCGGCTACGGACTACTGTAGGTAGGATAAGTCGGGATGTACAATTGTGCAATTGGATGTACACCTTTTCTAACCTCTTCTCTGCAGGGTGGAGAGGCAGCATAGCTGCTGGCATGCTGGTTATCTGAGGGAAACACCTTACTGCAGCCGTTACATCCCTATTCTTCATCAGTACGACTTTACCCACAGACCCCCCAGCAGAGTGTAAAAACAATTCTTACACTATGACGTCGGTAACTGATTTTAGTCTAATAGCTATCTTAA